GACATTTTTAAATGCTTTCATTTCACAATAAACAGCAAGATGGTACTAGCCAGGCTATCAAGGCTAGAGGATCAACAAGGGAATTGACCTTCTTTTTGGGCCATCATGTTCCCAGGGTTGCTCTAGGTAAGGATTTCTGGAAGCTAAGGGAAATTCAGGAAAAGGGGTTGTTGCTTTGGTTTGCTCTGGAGGAGGGGCTTGAATTTTATAGAACTAAAATCTTTAGTAAATAAACATTTCCCATAAAATTTTGTTTGCCCCTATTATTTCCCAGTCTTCCATTTGATGACTTCCTTTCCCTTAGCCCCCTTCTTTCAGTTAATCACCAATTGTTGTTTATAAGCTACCAGATCTTTCCACAGTCAGGCTTTACTCCTCATTTCCATTGTAATTGCCTTGGGTTAACATCCTTTCCCTAGACTAGTGCTTCTTAGCCAGGGGCAATTGTGACCCCTTGCCCCCAGAGGACATTTGGCAATATCTGGAGACATTTTTGGTTTTCACAGCTGGGGTGGTGGTGCTACTGATATCTAGCGGGGAGCACAGGGATGCTGCTAAACATCCTATAGTGCACAGGACAGGCCCCCCACAACAAGGAATTGTCCAAAGTCTGTAGTGCTTAGGTTGAGAAACCTTAACTAAGATTACTGTCAGAATCTACTAGTTTGCGTACCTGTTTGCAGTTTCACTCCCCCTGCACCAGCACCTCCTCTACACTCACAGAACTTCCTTTCTAAAACACAGAAATCTGACTTTGTCAATTCCCATTTATAAGCTTTCATGAGGTCCCCTTTGCCCATTGAAGCTCAAACTCCTTAACATAGGGCATAAAACAATGAATGTATTTATATTGCTTTCAAGCCTCATATTTTGCTCTCAAGCTTGACCCTCTACTCACGGTGTACTGAATACTGTGGTTTCCCCCAAATAATCACAGTGTTTTTATGCCTCTACATATACATTTTCTCTAGCCCACCATATGTCTTTCTCTCTTCTTCCTATCTAAGCACACTTTTTCATCGAAACTCTGCTGAAACATTCACCTTTTTTGTAAAGCTGTCTTTGTCTCTCTGCTCTATTGGTACCTTTACTATATATACATTATTATATCACAATGACTTATGTTTTAATTACATGTCTTTGTTACCTCTTAAACTGAATCCTCTCTTTGAGGGAAAGGTGTGTGTTTTATTCATCATTGCATTCCAAGTACTTAGAACAGTTCCTGATACATGTGGGTTCTCAAATATTTAGTTGAAAATACCTTTTTTTTGTGGCTGACAGTGAAAATACTTTTTTTTCTTCAAGGGATAAATTATAGTTCAAATAATTTGGAAATTAGTTGACTGATGAGGTGTTATAACTTACATTCTGTGCAGTGAGACTTGTGTATATAATCCTTTTGATTCACCATCATGTTTTCTATTGCTACCATCTCTTCAGATGTCATTTTTGTATTCTATTGCTTATGATGGTATTTTAAATGGAATTGATACATTAGGTATTTTTAGTATCACATAGAAGGTTTTACTTTTGAATTAGAGTTTAATCTCCGGCTATTGAAAAAACTTATAACGGCACATGTTTGGAGATCTCTTGTACCAAAGAGGAAAGAGCTTTAGGCTATTTACAGGTTTGGGGGCATGGGGTGGAGGGAGAAGAGTGATTAATTCCTTTTTTGAAAAATAAAAAACATATATAATGAGAGCTTTTGGGGAGGGAGGATGATGCATTGCATGTATTAAAAACCTTTTCTTGGGCCGGCCCGGTGGCGCACTGGATAGTGCGCCGCTTGGGAAGCGCGGCGG